CAGGCAGTTTCTGTTGCCAGCGGCCATCTTGGCATGGCCTTCTCATTCCACCACACAAGTAGAATCTATAGGCATTGGGCTAGCATTGTGGCACAGTGGGTTAAACCACTGCCTTTGATGCTGGCATCCCATATGAGCTCCGGTTTGTTCCACTTCCAATCCAGCTCCCTGCTACGTGCCTGGGAAAGCAGTGGAAGATGGCCCAAGTGCTTGTGCTCCTGCACCCACGTGGGAGACCCAGATGGAGTTCCAGGTTTCAGCCCTGCCCAGTCCTAGCTGTTGTAGCCATTTGGGGAGTGAACCAGCAGATGGACACACACACACACACACAAACACACGAGAGAGAGAGAGAGAGAGAGAGAGAGAGATCTTTCATCTGCTGGTTCACTCTCCAAATTGCTGCAACAGCCTGGTGCCAAAACCAGGAGCCCAGTGCTTCATCCAGTTCTCCCTGCTATGTGGGTGCAGAATCTCAAAGACTTGGGCCATCTTCCACTGCTTTCCCAGGCACAGTAGCAGAGAGCTGGATTGGACGTGGTACGCATGTGCAATGGCAGTGGTTTAACCCGCTATACCACAACACTGGCCCCGGTGTTATCATTCTTTGGCTCTCCAGAAAGTTTACAAGCAAAATGCCTTCAACAAACCCAAAATGGTTGCTATGACCTTTGCTCTTGACCAGTCTGCTTTACTGTGACTGGGCCACATCGATCCCTCGGGAGCCAATGCTTTGGTCACGCCTTGTCTTCAGGATCAAGGTGGTAACGCCATGTTCCATGTCCTGTTACAAGTCTTAGAAGAGATCCTTCAAGGCCTTGATCCCACTTGCTTGGCAGCTCGGCTCTGGTCTGCAGCTGATCTGGGCACAGGAGTTCTGCCCTCGCTGAGCAGAAAGCTTGCTCAGCTCCATTTTTCTCTCAGATTGTGTAAACTGAACAAATTGAGATGTCTGTTTGGTTATCGTCCCTGCTATTAGTTCTCCGTCCTTTTCAATAGGAAATGAACATGATTAATTTTCTACTAGCAAAGTGATGCGGATGGCCTGGCGCTACAAATTTCAACATCATCTCATCCTTTTGTATGTTTGTTTGTTTGTTTGACAGGCAGAGTGGACAGTGAGAGAGAGAGACAGAGAGAAAGGTCTTCCTTTGCTGTTGGTTCACCCTCCAATGGCTGCCGCGGCCGGCGCACCGCGCTGATCCGATGGCAGGGGCCAGGAGCCAGGTGCTTTTCCTGGTCTCCCATGGGGTGCAGGGCCCAAGCACCTGGGCCATCCTCCACTGCACTCCCTGGCCACAGCAGAGGGCTGGCCTGGAAGAGGGACAACCGGGACAGAATCCGGCGCCCCGACCGGGACTAGAACCTGGTGTGCCGGCGCCGCAGGCGGAGGATTAGCCTAGTGAGCCGCAGCACTGGCCTCATCTGTTCTTAACAGGGTTTATCCATCTGTAAACTGCTGATTCCTTTGGGAATTGTTCTTCATAAAGTACGGAGATTTCACAGTTCTTCCACCCAAGCTTCCCCAGAAATGTGGTTTATTTCTGCTTCACTTTTAGCGGAATTCGTGTAGCTCCAGTCAAGGCTCTTTTCAAACGGATGTCTCTACCTCCTGGCCGCAGGCTGGGCCCTATTCACACTTTGTAACAAGTCAGTGCGAGGTTGAGTGCAGAAAATCAGAATTCCACGCTCCGTTTCGTTCATGGTAGCATTTCCCATGAGCTTGTTGGCGATCCCTTAAAGTTTCGGTGTGACGTGTGTGAAACAGAAGACTCTGCCTCCCGCTGCCGTCACCTCCACTCAGACATCCCCGCGGGAGAGGGACACCCACCCGCCATCTCCTTGTAGCCATGCCAGGCAGTTCCAGGCAAGTCGCTGGTCTCTGGCTCTCCGCGTCCTTATTTTGAAATGGGGAAACAACATACGCAGCACATACAAACTCGAGGGCATTAAATGACGGTGTGTTCATTATAAAAGCATCCTGTAACCCTAAGTCAGACACCAATATAGTAACCCCTAGGCTTATTACATGTGGATGGAAACTAGACAGCCACCTGCTCCAACAAGGGATTGGTGTTGCCCTGACACCAAGCAGGAGCCAACAAGTTCTGGACGGCTCTGCTGTTATATTTTGAAAGAGGAGTAAAAGAGTGAGCCCATACATTTAGGAAAAGGAAACGAGGAATAGACACACTGCTTTATAAATAGTAGCACGGAAGCGTGGAGTTACCCTCCCAGGGAGGGCTGGTAAGTCGCACACAGAAGTGAACCCTGGAGCCTCTCAGCTGTAGTGGTGCAGAATTTCAGAAGAATCACGCACCAGGTTCTGGCTTGCGTCAGTGTGTGTGTCTGGCCTCGGGCACGGGAAAGGCTGGGTGGAGGGCAAGGGGATGCAGGGGGCAGAGACAGCCCTCCTCTTCCAAAGGAAACCGGGGGGGCTCAGAATAGGAATTTGCAGAATGTCTAGAAACAAAAAATATTTAGCAAGAGTCATTCAGGATGGAGGGCGGGCAGATTCTCAAAGGCCTAACAGGAGTGAAATCCACGCAGACAAGGGATCTTCAAGAAACTCATGAATAATGTAGGTTACGGAAAAAACTGCATGAGTCTCGATATTTTGCAAGAAAATAAATCTATCCTTTGAATTCTATTTTTTCATGAGCTTTTCAAAGTGCTCCCACATGTCCCAAAGGGCTGATCTTTCAGTAAATGACAATTATGAAGGAATTTGATATTTATGACTTAGCAATAGAAATTGAAACAAGAACAAAGGACATGGGATTGGTGGCCTGGGCCAAAAATAGAAAACTGAAAATGGAATTTAGTAGTCTGTGTTTACAGTCGGTTTTGTGTTACTATGACAAGTATCCAAGAGGAGTTTCTTTTTTTTTTTTTAAGATTTATTTATATATTTGAAAGGAAGAATGACACAGGGAGAGGAATAGAGGGAAAAACAGATCTTCCATCTGCTGGTTCACTCCCAAATGGCCGCAATGGCCAGGACTGGGCCAGGCCGAAGCCAGGATCCTGGAACTCCATCCAGGTCTCCTGTGTAGGCGGCAGGAGCCCGTGCACTTGGGCCATCTCCTATTGTTTTCTCAGGTGCATTGGCAGGGAGCGAAATAGGAAGTGGCTCAGCCAGGACTCAAACAGAGCCTGCATGGGATGCTGGCCTCACAGGCGGCAGCTTAACCTCCTGCACCATGATGCCCCCCAAGAGGGACTTCTGAAGGGAGAGGGTTTGTTTCAGCTTTCAGTTCCGGAGGCTCACAGGCCAGAGTGTGGCCCCATCAGTCTGGCGTATGTGGGTGGTGGATGTCAGCAGTACAGCGGGAGGTCACGTGGTGCACCAGGAAGCACACGGGCCATACTTCCCCGTGTCACGGTCTCCTTATAAACCACCATGATGTACCCTGGCAGCCTAGTCCTATCCAGTCACTCCCAATCCATTCCAGACACCATTGCCGGGGCAAGCCTTCACCCTTAACCACCAACCGTTAACATTAATCCATTAACAAACAACTGCCGAGTTTAAAGGTTCACGTGGTGTGGGGTGCCAAATCACACTGAAACCATGACTCGGTGTATGAAATGTGTCTCTATATCTTATATTCAGAGTCGTGAGAAATATTCCACAATTCAGCAGAATTACTCACATTCTCACTTCACGTACTGATTTTTTTTTTGACAGGCAGAGTGGATAGTGAGAGAGAGAGAGAGAGAGAGAGAGAAAGGTCTTCCTTTGCTGTTGGTTCACCCTGCAATGGCCGCTGCGGCCGGTGCACTGCGCTGATCCAAAGGCAGGAGCCAGGTGCTTCTCCTAGTCTCCCATGGGGTGCAGGGCCCAAGCACTTGGGCCATCCTCCGCTGCACTCCCTGGCCACAGCAGAGAGCTGGGCTGGAAGAGGGGCAACCAGGACAGAATCCGGCGCCCCGACTGGGACTAGAACCCGGTGTGCCTGCGCCGCAAGGCGGAGGATTTGCCTAGTGAGCTGCGGCGCCGGCCACGTATTGATTCTTACAAGACCATGTGATGATAAAATTCAGTGGACGATAGCTGGATAGTCATTTCCTAAATGTGGCCATCAATACTAGCATGAAAGAGAAGGGACATTTTCATTAAGACAAAGGGCACGTGAGCAGCCGATCCCACAGGGTAAGTGGACAGGAGGCCAGACGCGAATGCAGATCCTGGGTTGTGGTCAGGAGGAATGGTCTCCAGTGTAGCTGGAGACTCAGCACCTGGACACCTTGCATTTTCTCTGGTTACCACGGCACCTTGACACCTTGTATCTGCTCTTCGTTACCAGGTCACCTGGACACCTTGCACCTGCTCTTGGTTACCATGGCACCTTGACACCTTGTATCTGCTCTTGGTTACCAGTCACCTTGACACCTTGTATCTGCTCTTGGTTACCAGGTCACCTGGACACTTTGTATCTGCTCTTGGTTACCAGTCACCTTGACACCTTGTATCTGCTCTTGGTTACCAGGTCACCTTGACACCTTATATCTGCTCTTGGTTACCATGTCACCTGGACACCTTGTATCTGCTCTTGGTTACCAGGTCACCTGGACACCTTGCACCTGCTCTTGGTTACGACGGCAAGCAGTCAAGAAGTACAGCTACTTAACTAACTGCAGCACCATTCTTGGAACCTCACCAAGCGATTCTTGCTTTTCCTATGCTTTGCTTTCCTCCATTAATTTTTCTTTCCTTGCAATAGTGCGCGCAGCTGTTAAACAGTCTCCAGTCCTGCCTGATGCAGGTAGGAGTCTATAAACCCTTAAATATACTCAAACTCAAAACATATGTTCCCTGTGGTTCAGTGACATTGTGAACATAAAGAAAACCCTTTCCCTGTTATCAGCCATTCACAGCATTGTGGAAGCTGTTGTTTTTGTGTATGAAGCACACCTTTAAAAGTAAAGGGAGATACAGTGAACATTCAGCATGGCCATGGGGTGCTGCCTGGGCCGCTCCCCTGCTGAGCAGGCCTACCTGGGAAATAAGACAAGAGCAAGCAGGTCAGGTCTTTGCCTTGTTCAAAGGGCGTGCAGCAAGTGCAGGGAATTACTCAAGAAAATCTGTCAAAAATCTCCAAGGACAGCAGCAGTCTGTGGCCTTGGAGTCACGAGCCACTTCCTTCCCCTCCCTCTCCACTCAGCGTGACAGAGACTCCATTCCAGGTGCGTGCGGCCCAGAAACACGGCTCTGCTTGCGTCAGCTCTCCATCAGGGTTGGGGCGTCTTCCTGGGAGGGGCAGGCCGCCAGCTGTCCTCAGTCCCACCAGGCAAGTGCCACAAAGGTGAAGTTCCAGGCCGGTGCTGCTGGTGAGGGAATCCATCAGTCAGAGAAACCCAGAGCCCTGTGGCCTTTCCCCGCGCTTGCTCCTAGGGTAGAGGGTCTGCATTAGGGGAGACAGACTGGGACAGCCAGAGCCCAACACCCCACTGGGTACCTGCTGCTAGTGAAGCCACTTGGAGGAGCACGGTGTGCCCTCATCCCTGGCTATGGCGCTGGACTCAGGGATTTTGCCCACAGGGAGAGGCTGGCCTTCCGAAGATCTTCATGTCTGAAACAGCGTGCAGGGAAGTTGGAGCCTAAAGACATTCAGCATGGCCATGGGGGAGGCTGAAGCTCCAATGGGGCAGTTAGTTCATGAGACTCAGGGAGGGAGACAGCTAGGGGAGCCTTCCTGGGCTCAGAACAAACCTCAAATCCTGACCTCAAAAACTCCCCCTGTGAAGAGGCCCACATTTAATTGGATCAGACTGGAGACAGTTCTGTGCCAAGGCACTGCTGTCAGCAAAGCTCAAGCCGTGGAGCCCAACAGCTGGGTGTGATCAGGGCAGGAGAGGGGAAGACTCTGCTCCCACAACGGTCGTCCCTCCTGGTGTGCACATGGCCAAGGCTGCACCTGTGAGGAGTGGTGCACATCCAAGGCTGCCCACTGCAGGGGAGTGGCCAGACCCCTGCAGCAGGGCAGCCGTGTCACCAAGCACACAAGCAAGTGACCATAGCAACAGAACCCAGAGGTGCTGCAATACATTCTCTCTCTCTCTCTTTTTTAAATCTATTTGACAGGCAGAGTTATAGACAGTGAGAGAGAGAGACAGAGAGAAAGGCTTTCCTTCCGTTGGTTCACTCCCCAAATGGCTGCTATGGCCAGAGCTGCGTCAATCTGAAGCCAGGAGCCAGGTGCTTCTCCTGGTCTCCCATGCGGGTGCAGGGCCCAAGCACCTGGGCCATTCTCCACTGCACTCCCGGGCCACAGCAGAGAGCTGGACTGGAAGAGGAGCAGCTGGGACTAGAACCTGGCACCCATATGGGATGCTGGTGCCGCAGGCGGAGGATTAACCAAGTGAGCCACGGCGCCGACCATGCAATACATTCTCTAAAAAGGCCCAGGGGCCGTGGAAACAATTGTGAAACCCAAAGAGAGGAAAGTGTTACCTGCACAGAGCTTGAAAAGTAGGCTACAGGACGTTTCCATGGAGAGAGACCAATGTGGGGCTCATAGAGCCACCTGGGAGCAATGTGTCTACCTCTCACCCAAAGTAGATGCTGATAAATTAAGATGTCTATGGCAAACCCTGGATTAACCACTGAAAAAATAAATAAATATGGCAAAATAAATTTGTGTACGGAACAGAAATCATTAACGGGGAAACAAAAGGAAATGCGCGTACAGAAAAGAGGAAGTGAATTGTCAGGTGCAAATCCGACGACGCAATCCCAGCGTTAGGCAGGGGTGATTTTGATTGGAGAAGAGTGTGCTCAGGAGGCGGAGCTCGTCATGACAGAGGAAGACGCCCCCTCCGACAACCTGCTGCCTCCGGCGACAAGCGTTCGATCTGAAGAGACACAGAGATGGAGATACCTGGGCAAGCATCAGCCAGGGGAATGCTGGAGAGCTGGAATGGCGTCAGGCAAAACGAGCTTCAGAGCCAACAAGAAGTGCTTGCAGACTGAGAGGAGCATTGTATAATGACAGTCAGTCCTTGGAAGGCTGGAACGGTAGTGAACATACTGCACTTCACAGACAGGGATCCAGAACGGATGGATCAGCAATCGCGGTCAGAGACTCGCATTCCCAGCGTTATGCTTCCGAACTTTTCAAACGACAGCTGTAGAAAACTCCGCCCAACAACACAAGGCACATTTTTTTTTTTCTCAAGAGCATAGGAGCCTTCTTAAGGACAGATGGCACAGGTTGTAAAACAGGCCTAAATAAACTGACAATGATTGAGATCGTACAAAGTATGTTTTTTTTTTTTTTTTTTTTTTTTTTTTACCATGATGGAATGAAATTAGAAATCAAAATCAGAGGTATCTGGGAAATTCACAAATGTGTGTCAATAAAATAACCTACTCTTTACCACTGATTCAAAGAAGAAATCATAAGGGAATTAGAAAATGCCTTGGGATGATGAAAATGAAGATACAAGACGTCAACATTTATGAGAGGCAGCTAACAGTGGTCAGAGGAAAACGCACAGCTGTAAAGGCTCATGACCATAACGAGGAAGATCTCAGTGTAATAACCTAAGCTTCTGCCTTAAGGTGCCAGAAACAGAACAGCAAACAGCCCAAAGCAAGCAGGAAGAATGCAAGAACAAAGATTAGAGTGGAAATGAATAAAATAAAGAATAGCAAAACAACGGAGAGAATCAGTGACACCAAAGTTGGATCTTTGAAAAGATTTTTTGAAATGAAAAACCTTTAACTATGCACAGATAAGCACACGTTTCAGGGAAGTTGCCAGTTTTCTCTACACAACCTAGAATCATCTCCTTATCCATTCGTCATTTTCTGGGTACGATAGGACATAGGAGGTGAGGCTGAAGTTCCCAACATCAGTAACAAAGGCCTGATTAGAAATCCATGGTGGGGCCGGCGCTGAGGCGTAGTAGGTCAAACCTCCACCTGCAGTGCCGGCATCCCATATGGGCACTGGTTCAAGTCCTGGCTGTTCCACTTCTGATCCAGCTCTCCGGTAAGGCCTGAGAAAGCAGTGGAAGATGCCCAGTGCTTGAGATCCTACACCCACGTGGGAGAGGAAGAAGCTCCTGGTTCCTGGTTTGGGATTGGTGCAGCTCTGGCCATTGTGGCCATGTGGGTAGTGAACCAGTGGATGAAAGCCTTCTCTATGTATCTCTCCCTCTCTCTGTCTGTAACTCTACCTTTCAAATAATAAATAAAATATTAAAAAAACCATAGTAACTATTTAAAGGGCAGCTACATATGCAAGTGAATTTTTAACGGGATTCGTAGAACTGTGGAGATTTTGCTTAGCTCCAAACCAGCCCCATTGTGCACCTGTGGCCGTTGCTTTGAAAGATGACTTAGTTGGCTGACTGAACACTCCCTGACTCTCCAGTCAGCCCACTGGGAGACAGTGTGTGGATTCCCGGGAAAAAACCCTCCCCAGCCACGTCCCAATCCCAGAGGTTTCACAACTAGTGACTCAAGGCCAGACAACCACTGTGCTGGAGCCATGAAGACCCCTCCCCCATCCCATCAGAACACACCTGCAGGCTGCCGGCCGTGTGCCTCAGGAGTGACTTCTCCTAACCAAGTGCTTCCATGGCTCATCTCACAGCCTGGTTCTTTTCCAGTTGACCGAGCTCAGCGTGCACGGGCCGGGGACCCCGCTGGCTTGCTGAGCCAAAACCATTTGAAGGCATAGACCAACCCTAAAATCTTCTGGTTTTATAAACATCAGGGAAAAGGCCAAATTTACATAGCCCAAATAGTAATATAAGGGTACTTTTCAAAGTTCATGGAAAATGAATTAAAAGGTAACCTTCTTTTGGTGCCAAAGTTTTAAAAATCCATGCATATTTTCTCCCCTAATACACATTTCCACAAACATTTTAAATGTCTTTTGTATGTGTTGATTTCAAATATTTTTTGCACCAAAATAAACACATCTTTTTATTCCATTTTCCTCTGAACTTTCTGAAGAACTTGCATATATCTGGTTGTGAAGCATTAGGAAATTTGGCAACATTTGACAATAACATGCTTTTCTGCAGTCCCAGGGACACACGATGCTGTGCTCAGCCTTGTTTAGCCACTGCTGGTAGACACATGCCACAGGTGGCTGGGCTACAACCTGGCGTGGCTCTGGGAAACAGACAGCCAGCCAATCAGCGTGGAGAACGCCTGGGAGTCCGGCTCGCTCCTAGCGGTCTCCGTGCATCTCGGAGAACACTGAGCCAGCCGTTGCGCCACAGCTGAGTGCGCCTCTCTCCCCCGCTCGCCCTGTGTGGGAGAAAGGCGTCAAAACTGCGCTCGACTTGTGCGACAGAGATCGGAGATCCTGAATGTCCCCGGCAGCTCGCACCGAGCTGGACCCCACGGCAGCATAATAAAGGGGTGCTAGCATAGGGGCAGGGAGCCGGGGTCCGAGCGCCTGGGATGCGCCAGCCCCTGGCTGGGTATCTCTGATGCCTAATCCCATGCTTGCACCCGGCATGCATCCCAACCACCTTCCTACCGTCGCTGTCATCATGCACACAAGGCTGGAGCCTGCCCAGCCCTGGCACAAGCCCTCCTGCCAGTCAAAGTGGTGAGAGGTGACCTGGGGTGACCCCTGGCTCGGCCACCTTGGGCAAGCGACCTAACCTCTCTGTGCCCTCCGTTCTTCTAGAAACTGCTAATACCCGCCTCTGGGTATGTTAAGACAAGCTGAATGAGCTGATTCTTACTTAGAACAATGCCTGGCAGTGTTTCTTCAAGGATTAACACGAGGCAGGGAGCTAAGTCTCCTCTTTACTATGTGCAAAGAAATTCGTTCCCTCCAAGCTTCACCGTCTTTTCTGCCACCAGCCGTGAGCTTCTGCCAGAGGGGACGGGGTACCGGCCTTGGGTTTCCCGCTGCTCCCACCCAGCCCACAGCTTTGCCCCGTGACTCCACGCTCACCCCATCGGGAAGCCATTTCCTCCCAGGCCTGGCTGGGAGCAGCCGCAGGTGCTACGCTTCGTCAGGCCCAGGCAGCTGATGAGCGCTCTGCCAAAGCAGAAAGCAGCCCCTGAAAGCCGACAGCCACGGCCCCTCTGCCCTCGCCGCTGCCTTCTCTCCCGGGAGGAGACACAAGCGGCTCGCCCGGCACCTGCCTCGCACATCCCTGGGGCCCCCATCCCCAGCCACCCACCCCCTCCCCACATCCTCCCTCCAAGTGCGGCATCATTGTCAGCTCCGCTGCTCCCTGGATTGGCCCAGCCACCGAGTGGAATCCAGCAGAGCTTTGGCTTCCATTGGGCTCAGGCAAAGGTTTGCTGTGGGGACAGGAAGAGAAACCCCAGAACGTCCAGGCGACAGCCAAAGAGGGTGCAGCTGAATCCTTGCTCCATTAAATATGAATTCAGATCCACAGCAAATAACTTAATGTAAGTAACACACACTTCTACCAAAGCTAATTGTTGTAACGTATATCTGTGCTTCCTTGAAAATTATTTCAGAAGTGATAGTACATACTGAAGCAAGATTTTCGTTTTCTGTTTTGTTTTTCTGTTTCTTTTTTTCTTCACAATTTTTAAAAAAATTTATTTGACAGAGTTAGGCAGTGAGAGAAGAGAGAAAGGTCTTCCTTCCTTTGGTTCACCCCCCAAATGGCTGCCTGGGCTGGAGCTGCGTCGATCTGAAGCCAGGAGCCAGGTGCTTCTCCTGGTCTCCCATGCAGGTGCAGGGCCCAAGCACTTGGGCCATCCTCCACTGCACTCCTGGGCCACAGCAGAGAGCTAGACTGGAAGAGGAGCAACCGGGACTAGAACCTGGTGCCCATATGGGATGCTGGCACCACAGGCAGAGGATTAACCACGTGAGTCACAGTGCTGGCCCCCTGTTTTTCTGTTTCTAAATGCCCTGCCTCACAAAGTGCCAGAGTTCAGGTAGACTGGTGGCCAAGCCACAGATACACGTGCCTGTGGGGGCTCCCAGATCACCCTCTCTCTGCTGCCCGACCACCGAGCATCAGA